AATTGGAGCCAACAGAAAGAGATGAATTAGGTTCAGTAGCAGAGAAAACCTTTGTTCATGGACCAGAGGATGGGAAATGCTGTAGTTTACTCTCATAGGGCAGCTATATTGATAATTGCATTTCTGTTACTGTGCTTCTACACCTGTTGGATGATTTTTGTTGACATTTGTGTTAACACATAATTCGTAAGCATTCTGCTTTTTAAAAGTTCTTCTAGGAATGGAGTTTACATCTATTTGCATAATTGCCATAGCAGTGAACTGAAATTATTTTACAGCAATGTGGAATTCCTGACATAGAAAGTTAATGTGTGATATATCCAAAAAGCAGTGTTTCCCATCACTGTGAGAGTTGTTAATTATACAAGAACTACCTCAGATATACATACACTGGTGTCAGTTTTTCTGAGACATTTCTATGTTCTGAAAGCTAAATATCAAATACTATTTTTCCATTCAAACATTTCATTTCCGTTAGATGAGGATTGTAATATTAATGTCATTGAGATTACTCCAGTGTTTAGACTTGAAAACCATCTTCCTTGTCTCATGAAGACCTAAATATAAAAGAAAATGGAAAAAAAATTTTAAGAATTTAAAAAACTGAAGAGTATAGCTCAAGTGGTAGAGCACATGCTCAGCATACTCAAGGTCCTGGGTTCAATCCCCAGTACTCCCTCTGAAAAAAAAGTAATAATAAATAAGTAAACTTAATTACCTCCTCCACAGAAAAATTTTTTTTAGTAAATAAATAAAACAGTGTCTGGGTAAAAGAGACTCTCAATAAATATCTGGTAAGTTGATGTGCAAGACAAAAAACATCTTCAAAAAATTTTTTTAAAAATAGAGAGACCCAAGCTCCAGCTCTATGGAGCACCTGATTGCCATCCGGCTGCAGGCAGGGCAGCTTCATTGGGTCCCAGTGGGGAGGGCAGAGCGGTTTTCGCCGGCACAGGCACAGCTATATTCTGTGTTCTGCATTCTATATTCTACATTCTATATTCAGTATTCTGTACTCTATATTCTAAATTCTATGTTCAGAATTCCATGTTCTAAATTCGGGGTTCTGTATTATGCATAGTATATTCTACATTCTGTGTTCTACATTCAATATTCTACATTATATATTCTGAATTCTGTATTCTATATTCTGTGTTCTGCATTCCATGTTCTAAATTCTGGGTTCTGTATTCTGTATTCTATATTCTATATTCTGTGTTCTGCATTCCATGTTCTAAATTCTGGGTTCTGTATTCTATATTCTATATTCTGTGTTCTAAATACTATATTCTACATTCTATATACTGTACTCTATATTCTAAATTCTGTGTTCTGAATTCCATGTTTTAAATTCTGGGTTCTGTATTCTGTATTCTGTATTCTATATTCTATATTCTGTGTTCTATATACTGTATTCTTTATTCTGTATTCTGTGCTCTGAATTCCATTCTAAATTCTGGGTTCTGTATTCTGCATTTTATATTTTATATTGTGTGTCCTACATTCTAAATTCTACATTTCATTACTGTATTCTATATTCTATATTCTGTGTTATGATTTCCATGTTCTAAATTCTGCATTCTGTATTCTGTATTCTATATTCTATATTCTGTGTTCTACATTCTATGTTCTATATTGTATATTCTGTATTCTGTATTTTTATTCTAAACCCTCTGTTCTGAATTCCATGTTCAAAATTCTGGGTTCTGTATTCTGCATTCTATATTCTATATTCTATATTCTACATTC